TTTAGTTCATAAATGGATGCAACTTATCCTTATAGTTCTGAAATCCTTTAAAATCGAAAATATATACATATAGTTTCTATGTCATCAGCCACGATAGTGAAATTACATATATTAACCCACATGACTCATATCACATTCATTTCCTGTTCAATTACACGCGTCAAAATCACCACTTAAAGTATCTTGAACTCGCATATTTTTAAGCAATCAATATGACAAACAAAATGACTATTTCTGCGTTGTTTGCATACATCAGTCTTCGTCACAGACTTCTACAACTTTCGGACTTCTCTAATAATTTCTTCACGTATGTACTTCTCGAGATCACTGTTTTACAATTAACACTAGCTCAATTTTTACACGATTCCCATGCGATCGGGTGAGGCCAAGAGATTCGAGACGGACCTCAATCGTGACGAGTGCATTTCGTTGTTCAAGTACTAAACGTCATATTAACTGAGGACGGATCCGGCGTTGGACGAAACGCTAGAGACGCGCGACTAAACGAATGCGTACAGAGCAAACGCGTAAAGGCAAGACGGACGTGTACATAGGGAGTGGAGAGAGCTGAGGAGCTCGAGCCCCGCCATGTGGTGCGTCTATTTCCGTGCTTGCTCTCGACCGACATGGCGCCTCCGAATGGATCTCCGACTCAAGCGGGTTCCTTCTTGCTGCTCTTGATTGATCCGCGCCGCGTAACTTCTCATGGTCGTGGTCCACGTGGCTTGTCAGGCACGACCATCCACGCGCGTCTATCTATATATAGCGAACAATAGTTTTAAATGTTTCTCGTTGTCTTCAAATATCCAGACTTCCGGATATTCTCTAATGTTCTCCATTATTTCGTGCCGACTGCCAAAAGATATGTACACAATGTGTTTTTTTTTTAGAATATTAGAGAGAGGGGTTCCTGTTCACTCATTACTATTGTCTCGCGAGAAAAATACAATAAAAATTCTTGTAAATTATATTATATATAAATAGAAATATATTTCAATAAAAAAGTTTTTATAGTTTAATAGAGTAGACTTACATAATAGACTTACATAAAATATACCGAAAACTATCTTTTTTGGGGGAGAAATTAATAAATCATATTTATATTTCTATATATATTGTTAATGCTAGCTGTGAACATAATTAAATAATTATAATTTATTATTAGTTTATTATTATTATTAACTAATATTTCATTTTCAGATATTAATTAACGGATCTAGAGGAATTTTCAATATATTTTGCAAAAATTTTTATTGTGCATTTTCTCGTTTCTGACAACTGACTACAATTTGAAATAGTAGTGATGAATAAACAGGAACCTTAATAATTATAATTATAATTATAAGAAAATTATATTATGTGTTATTAGTTATTACATTACGTATCATCTCTATTACGCAGCATTTTTATCATTTTACTACAAACACATTTCAAATTAAAAAAGATTTTTAAGCCATTGTAGTAAATGTTCTATGAATTACATAAAATAATTGATAATGATGTATTTAATTATAAACTGTAAATAATTACGTAATATGCGCACAATCAGAATGCTTTTATTGTTCGTCGAGGAAAGTTGTATGATATAGATTGTATGATAAGTATGTTGTAATGCACGTACACGCGTTATTTATATTGCATCGGTATTTTCACTATTTAATGTTAGAATCGCGTTTTTTGATTGAAGGACCGTTGACTATGCCTTTGGTCACGATACCAAGAAAAGTCACCGAACTCACCTATAAATAAACTTCAATTGCTATTCGCGTGTATCGATTACGCTCACCGAGTTGCGGCAACAAATCGCTATGACGCGAATCCTTTTTGACACGACAGTAGGGAAGTTGCAATCGTCTGAACGATCATCCGAGTTGTCATCGATACGAGGATCGAACCGAGGAAAACCGTTCCGAAATTCTTGCTTTCACATTTCAATGATTTTATTCTTTCCAATATTGCACATTTGACAATAAAGTTGATTGAATCTTCATCCCGATAATACGTCCTGTTGTGTCGCTCAAGATACATAGAAATAGACAATCTGGGTTTGTTTTATCTCAAGGAAACTTATGATCTGACATGCGTGCGAATATCGTATCATAAAAAATTTATTGTAAAAAAGACTTACTATACACAGAATTGAACCTTCATCTAGTTTTCTGGCGTAATATTGATGACGATAATAAAAGTGCTGACGGAATTTTAGCTTTATTTACAACATCTAGTACTGGCTTTTGAGGTCTGATATACTTGTGATATCGTATTTTTATTGTTGGTAAAGTGGATTGAAGGTATTTCGGTATCTTTTTGCAATAATTGTATTTGCTCGTGGAATACAATGAATTGCTCTTAATAGAAATTTTTTGACGACGATAAAATCACAAAATGCTGAGTATATTTTTAATAACGAGACCTGTTGTGAACTTAAGGGTTACAACAGCTAATCAAAATAATATTCGAGCATTTTGAGAATTTTCCTAATTATTTCAATGATTTCAAACGTTATTCACAAATTATGATTTGATTTTGTTTTACTTATTTTATTACCTTATTTTATTCAAAAATTTAGAAGCTTAAAATTTCCTCTATTTCGTTATCAAAGATTATGTATGTTCTTGAAAGCAGCTTAGAATGCATGTAATCGTGTTTGTTCGATGCATATTTTTTTTATCTTGATCTCTAAATCCATTTTTATATCTATTTTTATCTATCATTTTTAGAATATTGATATAATTGATAGTTCTGACTTTCTCTCAAAGAATTATATTAAAATTAAAAAAGTGATTCAGTCAATACAGCTAAGTAAATACAGTTATTTGCGATTGTTATGCATATGATGTTATTATATATACGAAGAGAATAAATATTATATATTAGCATTGATATTATTGATAAAATTGATTATCAATTTAATAATGTGATACTATTTTCAGGTTCGACAGAAAATTGCAGTTTAGTATTGAATAATAATAGGCTTACAAGTGTAAGGATGAAATGTATAAAATTTATAAAATTTAGTAGAATAAGATTCTAATTTAAAATAACGATTTTTATTTTGCGTCCTAGAGATTGCTAGAAGTGTCCTTTTTTCTTATGTTTGACCCTTTATTCCTTTAAACCGGTTCACCTGTGCCTTCCTCGAGCGAGGACTACCCCTTACTAATTACCAGCAGATCGATAATCATCGATAAGGGTCGTGCACGAGGCTTTTCGGAGCAGTCCAGGCTCGTCGACGAGCGAGGCAACATTAAGAATTGTGGTTTCTTCAATCGTATCAAATATACACAAGATTGTGACATTATCGTGTTTATTTGTTCGTATATCTTGAATTCGTAGCATTTTTGAATATTTTTTGTAAAAAGATATTAAAATGATAGATTTTGAACGTAAATTGATTAAGATGTGTGATAGAAAATTCAAAAAATTTAATATCATTATTTAAAAGGTAAAAGAAATTATAAAAAATTAATTTAGCTTGGAATCATTTAAAAGTAATTGTAATTGTGTAACAAAAATGATTGATTAATTATCATTCATACACAATATCATAATTAAGTAATCAATTTGCTTTTCAGTGTATAAATCTTGATAAATATAAAAAAGTTTATTAGTAACTTTTTCGTAACGAAAAAAAATTGTGAAATTTCTTACTGCCAACTTTGTGAGTAAAATGGAGAAATATGAAAATATTGAGATAGTAGGCGAGGGAAGTTACGGACTCGTGATGAAATGCAAGCATCGCGAAACCGGGCAAGTAGTGGCGATAAAAAAGTTCTTGGCGACGGAAGAAGATGTACAGATTCGAAAAATGGCATTTCGTGAAATAAGGATGTTAAAGGTAGGTATTAATTATTAAAATTTTTATTATTATTGTTAAAGTCTAAGTCTGTGTAATGTATTATACGAATTACGCTCGTTAAATTTTAAACCTGATTGTTTTATCCGATAAATAAAACGCTCTCTGATATTACTTTATAAAAATAGTTTATGTTTATTAAATGTTTATTTAAGATAATATTATTTAATATTTAGTAAATAGGATGATATTATTTAGAAATTACGTCACGAGAATTTAGTGAACATGATCGAGGTGTTTCGTCGAAGAAAACGGCTTTATCTCGTATTTGAATATCTTGATCACACCGTGCTCGACGAATTGGAGGAAAACAAAAATGGTATCGATTGGGAGAAATCAAGGCGATATATTTTCCAAATACTTCGTGGATTGGACTTTTGTCATAATCATAAAGTGAGCAAAAGTAATAATACTATATTTTTGTTACACTGTAAAAAAATTTTCTCACTGTAATTACATACTTTATTATGATTATCTTCACATCTCATATCACTATTTTAAGATATTTTTAGAGTTGCATGAAATATAAATCTTATCAAAATAATATATATATATACATTATTATTTATATATAATAAAATTACAATTGTATTTTTTACTAAAAATCGCAATTTATTATAATTCATTATAACATTAAAAATCAATCTACAATAAAACATAAATTTTGTCATATATTACATATATTATGATATTCTCATATAATTTAATTTTTTAAAGAGTTACGTGAACTTCTTAAAAAGTGATTATTTTAATAAATAATATTCAGAGTATATTTCATGCTAAAATTTTGATTAATTTATGCAAACTATGTATCTGAGCGCATGATGATGTACTTCCGTTTATCAGCAACCTTTGGCAATAAATACCACCTCCCTTACGGTAAAGTTCACGGCCGTGACGCTTAAATTTCGAGTTGCAGTAAACCGTGCATGTATAGTAACACGCGACGGGGTCGGATACTTAATGAATGATAGCATTGTAACAAACGAGGGCAATGGTTGCCGCATTTAGTCGAGCTCGACTCGGAAAGTTCTAGCGTTAACAGAAAACATTACGCATTTCCCCGTTTGCATTAGATTTTAAATGAGGATTCTACGAACGGAATACAATCTGCATCTTATCATGTAATTAGCTTGACCTTTTTCCACAAATAGTTCATTCTATTTTGACTCTTCTGCTTTTAGAAATTTAAAGATTTCTTCAGCCACTTTTCAGCTCAAGAAGCGTTCGTTAATATATTCTATCAGACTCGCAAAGATTTAATTATAATATTTTCTTTTTATTTGTCTGATTTTAATGAGATAGAAGGTTTTTCTTTCGACAGATCATGCATCGTGATGTAAAGCCTGAGAATGTGCTCGTATCACCGAACGGCGTGATTAAGCTTTGCGACTTTGGTTTCGCACGGTATATCACTAACGAGTCTTGTACCGATTACGTGGCGACGAGATGGTATCGCGCACCAGAACTTCTCATCGGTGATTCCAAGTACGGTAGAGAGATCGACGTCTGGGCGGCCGGATGCATCTACGCCGAGATGGTCACCGGCCAGCCTCTCTTTCCCGGCGACAGTGACATCGACCAGCTGTATCGCATCACGAAGATCCTCGGTGAGGATGGATGATAAATCTTGTTAGATAACCGAAGAATTGATAAAATAGTTTATTAAAAATTCTCTTATATTTTTATTTATTATACAATAATATAAATATTGGAGAACATAAAGAAAGATAAGCATTTTGTAGATTTGAAATTTTTGTAAATGATATGGATCTTTATATTCTTTAACCTTGTTGTTGGACTTACAATTTCAATAATAGATACTTAATTTTAAAATATATTATTCATGCACAATTTTTTTTAACAAAACTATTGTAACTTAATTAATTTCTAAATTTGCTTTATTTAATTTAGTATGTCGTTAAGTGCGAATTGCTTATTTACTGTTAAATTCATATAATGTTAAATTATATCTAACTTGAATTATTTTTAATCATATAATCGTACAATTTTTTTATGTTTCAAACAATTATATATATATGGTTAAATTATTAAATAATTATAAAAATGGAGTACCTAATCACAATTACTTTATCACGCAATTATAATCACAAATATCAAACGCTTCTCTCCGAGAATTGTATCTAGCAATATATTAAAACAGGTCCTCTTTACAAATCGATGAACGGTAGTGGCAAACATATACTCCGGCACACAAAACCTGATGAGACTGTTAGTTTAACACGATCCACGAGTCTTCGAAATCTCTTTCCAACGTGGAGCTCGGTGGCGATTGATTTTTTGACGCAGTGTCTTCGTACAGATCCTACTTTCAGACCGAAATGTCTCACGTTGCTGCAGCATCCTTTCTTCTTGCAAGACAATTTCGCCGACAGGTTTCTCAGCGAGTTGCAGCGACTTGTCGTCAAAGAATCCGCGATAAATTTGCTCGGAACCAAGAGAGCGGAATCGTCTTCTAGGATCTGTCGTAGCAGCATTGGAAGGTTGACTTAATGATTTATTAATTAATTTAACTGAAACGTTGATTAGTTTATAGATAAATAGTAACTTTTATTTATATTAATAGTGAAAAATAAGTTATTAATTCCATTAAAAATATTTTATTAGAAATATATATGTATATACATATATATTTCTAATAAAATATTTTTAATGGAATTAATAACTTATTTTTCACTATTAATATAAATAAAAGTTACTATTTATCTATAAACTAATCAACGTTTCAGTTAAATTAATTAATAAATCATTAAGTCAACCTTCCAATGCTGCTACGACAGATCCTAGAAGACGATTCCGCTCTCTTGGTTCCGAGCAAATTTATCGCGGATTCTTTGACGACAAGTCGCTGCAACTCGCTGAGAAACCTGTCGGCGAAATTGTCTTGCAAGAAGAAAGGATGCTGCAGCAACGTGAGACATTTCGGTCTGAAAGTAGGATCTGTACGAAGACACTGCGTCAAAAAATCAATCGCCACCGAGCTCCACGTTGGAAAGAGATTTCGAAGACTCGTGGATCGTGTTAAACTAACAGTCTCATCAGGTTTTGTGTGCCGGAGTATATGTTTGCCACTACCGTTCATCGATTTGTAAAGAGGACCTGTTTTAATATATTGCTAGATACAATTCTCGGAGAGAAGCGTTTGATATTTGTGATTATAATTGCGTGATAAAGTAATTGTGATTAGGTACTCCATTTTTATAATTATTTAATAATTTAACCATATATATATAATTGTTTGAAACATAAAAAAATTGTACGATTATATGATTAAAAATAATTCAAGTTAGATATAATTTAACATTATATGAATTTAACAGTAAATAAGCAATTCGCACTTAACGACATACTAAATTAAATAAAGCAAATTTAGAAATTAATTAAGTTACAATAGTTTTGTTAAAAAAAATTGTGCATGAATAATATATTTTAAAATTAAGTATCTATTATTGAAATTGTAAGTCCAACAACAAGGTTAAAGAATATAAAGATCCATATCATTTACAAAAATTTCAAATCTACAAAATGCTTATCTTTCTTTATGTTCTCCAATATTTATATTATTGTATAATAAATAAAAATATAAGAGAATTTTTAATAAACTATTTTATCAATTCTTCGGTTATCTAACAAGATTTATCATCCATCCTCACCGAGGATCTTCGTGATGCGATACAGCTGGTCGATGTCACTGTCGCCGGGAAAGAGAGGCTGGCCGGTGACCATCTCGGCGTAGATGCATCCGGCCGCCCAGACGTCGATCTCTCTACCGTACTTGGAATCACCGATGAGAAGTTCTGGTGCGCGATACCATCTCGTCGCCACGTAATCGGTACAAGACTCGTTAGTGATATACCGTGCGAAACCAAAGTCGCAAAGCTTAATCACGCCGTTCGGTGATACGAGCACATTCTCAGGCTTTACATCACGATGCATGATCTGTCGAAAGAAAAACCTTCTATCTCATTAAAATCAGACAAATAAAAAGAAAATATTATAATTAAATCTTTGCGAGTCTGATAGAATATATTAACGAACGCTTCTTGAGCTGAAAAGTGGCTGAAGAAATCTTTAAATTTCTAAAAGCAGAAGAGTCAAAATAGAATGAACTATTTGTGGAAAAAGGTCAAGCTAATTACATGATAAGATGCAGATTGTATTCCGTTCGTAGAATCCTCATTTAAAATCTAATGCAAACGGGGAAATGCGTAATGTTTTCTGTTAACGCTAGAACTTTCCGAGTCGAGCTCGACTAAATGCGGCAACCATTGCCCTCGTTTGTTACAATGCTATCATTCATTAAGTATCCGACCCCGTCGCGTGTTACTATACATGCACGGTTTACTGCAACTCGAAATTTAAGCGTCACGGCCGTGAACTTTACCGTAAGGGAGGTGGTATTTATTGCCAAAGGTTGCTGATAAACGGAAGTACATCATCATGCGCTCAGATACATAGTTTGCATAAATTAATCAAAATTTTAGCATGAAATATACTCTGAATATTATTTATTAAAATAATCACTTTTTAAGAAGTTCACGTAACTCTTTAAAAAATTAAATTATATGAGAATATCATAATATATGTAATATATGACAAAATTTATGTTTTATTGTAGATTGATTTTTAATGTTATAATGAATTATAATAAATTGCGATTTTTAGTAAAAAATACAATTGTAATTTTATTATATATAAATAATAATGTATATATATATATTATTTTGATAAGATTTATATTTCATGCAACTCTAAAAATATCTTAAAATAGTGATATGAGATGTGAAGATAATCATAATAAAGTATGTAATTACAGTGAGAAAATTTTTTTACAGTGTAACAAAAATATAGTATTATTACTTTTGCTCACTTTATGATTATGACAAAAGTCCAATCCACGAAGTATTTGGAAAATATATCGCCTTGATTTCTCCCAATCGATACCATTTTTGTTTTCCTCCAATTCGTCGAGCACGGTGTGATCAAGATATTCAAATACGAGATAAAGCCGTTTTCTTCGACGAAACACCTCGATCATGTTCACTAAATTCTCGTGACGTAATTTCTAAATAATATCATCCTATTTACTAAATATTAAATAATATTATCTTAAATAAACATTTAATAAACATAAACTATTTTTATAAAGTAATATCAGAGAGCGTTTTATTTATCGGATAAAACAATCAGGTTTAAAATTTAACGAGCGTAATTCGTATAATACATTACACAGACTTAGACTTTAACAATAATAATAAAAATTTTAATAATTAATACCTACCTTTAACATCCTTATTTCACGAAATGCCATTTTTCGAATCTGTACATCTTCTTCCGTCGCCAAGAACTTTTTTATCGCCACTACTTGCCCGGTTTCGCGATGCTTGCATTTCATCACGAGTCCGTAACTTCCCTCGCCTACTATCTCAATATTTTCATATTTCTCCATTTTACTCACAAAGTTGGCAGTAAGAAATTTCACAATTTTTTTTCGTTACGAAAAAGTTACTAATAAACTTTTTTATATTTATCAAGATTTATACACTGAAAAGCAAATTGATTACTTAATTATGATATTGTGTATGAATGATAATTAATCAATCATTTTTGTTACACAATTACAATTACTTTTAAATGATTCCAAGCTAAATTAATTTTTTATAATTTCTTTTACCTTTTAAATAATGATATTAAATTTTTTGAATTTTCTATCACACATCTTAATCAATTTACGTTCAAAATCTATCATTTTAATATCTTTTTACAAAAAATATTCAAAAATGCTACGAATTCAAGATATACGAACAAATAAACACGATAATGTCACAATCTTGTGTATATTTGATACGATTGAAGAAACCACAATTCTTAATGTTGCCTCGCTCGTCGACGAGCCTGGACTGCTCCGAAAAGCCTCGTGCACGACCCTTATCGATGATTATCGATCTGCTGGTAATTAGTAAGGGGTAGTCCTCGCTCGAGGAAGGCACAGGTGAACCGGTTTAAAGGAATAAAGGGTCAAACATAAGAAAAAAGGACACTTCTAGCAATCTCTAGGACGCAAAATAAAAATCGTTATTTTAAATTAGAATCTTATTCTACTAAATTTTATAAATTTTATACATTTCATCCTTACACTTGTAAGCCTATTATTATTCAATACTAAACTGCAATTTTCTGTCGAACCTGAAAATAGTATCACATTATTAAATTGATAATCAATTTTATCAATAATATCAATGCTAATATATAATATTTATTCTCTTCGTATATATAATAACATCATATGCATAACAATCGCAAATAACTGTATTTACTTAGCTGTATTGACTGAATCACTTTTTTAATTTTAATATAATTCTTTGAGAGAAAGTCAGAACTATCAATTATATCAATATTCTAAAAATGATAGATAAAAATAGATATAAAAATGGATTTAGAGATCAAGATAAAAAAAATATGCATCGAACAAACACGATTACATGCATTCTAAGCTGCTTTCAAGAACATACATAATCTTTGATAACGAAATAGAGGAAATTTTAAGCTTCTAAATTTTTGAATAAAATAAGGTAATAAAATAAGTAAAACAAAATCAAATCATAATTTGTGAATAACGTTTGAAATCATTGAAATAATTAGGAAAATTCTCAAAATGCTCGAATATTATTTTGATTAGCTGTTGTAACCCTTAAGTTCACAACAGGTCTCGTTATTAAAAATATACTCAGCATTTTGTGATTTTATCGTCGTCAAAAAATTTCTATTAAGAGCAATTCATTGTATTCCACGAGCAAATACAATTATTGCAAAAAGATACCGAAATACCTTCAATCCACTTTACCAACAATAAAAATACGATATCACAAGTATATCAGACCTCAAAAGCCAGTACTAGATGTTGTAAATAAAGCTAAAATTCCGTCAGCACTTTTATTATCGTCATCAATATTACGCCAGAAAACTAGATGAAGGTTCAATTCTGTGTATAGTAAGTCTTTTTTACAATAAATTTTTTATGATACGATATTCGCACGCATGTCAGATCATAAGTTTCCTTGAGATAAAACAAACCCAGATTGTCTATTTCTATGTATCTTGAGCGACACAACAGGACGTATTATCGGGATGAAGATTCAATCAACTTTATTGTCAAATGTGCAATATTGGAAAGAATAAAATCATTGAAATGTGAAAGCAAGAATTTCGGAACGGTTTTCCTCGGTTCGATCCTCGTATCGATGACAACTCGGATGATCGTTCAGACGATTGCAACTTCCCTACTGTCGTGTCAAAAAGGATTCGCGTCATAGCGATTTGTTGCCGCAACTCGGTGAGCGTAATCGATACACGCGAATAGCAATTGAAGTTTATTTATAGGTGAGTTCGGTGACTTTTCTTGGTATCGTGACCAAAGGCATAGTCAACGGTCCTTCAATCAAAAAACGCGATTCTAACATTAAATAGTGAAAATACCGATGCAATATAAATAA